GAAGAGGCCAATTCTGATGCCAAGATTCTGGAGTAATAATAGTCCCATCTGCCCCTGTATTCAATAATCCTTCAATTATAGTGTTATTTATTCATACTCTCAGGTTTGGTCTTTGATGTCATTTATAGAAGTTTGCTAAAAATATACATTGCCAATTTTCTACTGGAACTTTTGATTCATCCTCCATGATTTTTCTATCGTCAATAGCAATGTTTTTTTACAGCAGGTACTGGATTTTTCCATTTTCCTGGGGAGGCATGTGCCCCACAGTGACTGAGAATGACTGGACCACGTTAGAACTGGGGTCTGTGAGAAACTCCCTAAGGAATTTCCCAGTAGTGACAGCTTACCTTGTTTGTCTCTTATCTCTCTGCATTTATTAGTTCAATGTTGGCCTTTGCCTCATCTTCTACATAATCCAAAAGATTGAGACCTTCTATTTTTGTTATTTTCAGAAGAAACATTATTTCTATGAATGCCCTGTCTACAATTCCTTCTCAGATGGCCTATTCTACCACAATAAAAACATTTCATATTATGATGACTTTTCATACCTTTGGAAATTGCTTCTTTTACCCAAACCTCAGTCAAACCTCAGTCTTATAGTCAAATGACTCAACATTGACTGGATGCAGGATCCATTCATCCATTGGTGCTGATCTGACCTTTAATGGTCCAAGTATCATTTTGCATTTTAAGTTGATATTTTCAAAATCCAGAGATTCAGTAAGTACTTGTCTAGCTTCTGGATCTGTTACCCCTATTTGTACAGCTAAGTTAATCTTTGTAAAAAGTCACTAAATGATTATCTTGAGCCTTGCATGACCTCATATAATTCAATTCTTATTCCTAGTTCTTGAATCTTGAATCTTGAATCTTGTCCCAAGCATTCAAGGCTACAAGAACACTGTAAGGCATAAGAACAAGATGTGTTTATTGTATATATCTTGACTATCTGAATCAGTGTAACAGCCCTCACCAAGAATTTCATCTTGGGAGGCCTCAATTCCTCTGGCTCTACCTTGATGTTCCAGGGCTTTAGTCTCCTCTCTCTCCAATAGCACTTCCACTGTAACTACAGTCCATCTTCTAGCATGGCTGAGACTGAATGAGCCAATCATTTTGAGTAACCTTATTTCTTAAAGGCTATGCCATTATCAACTCCCTCACATATGGTGAATACATGCCATAAGATACTACTGCTTGCTTAATATCTTTTAGATTTTTTATATATGTGGTTCCAATTTACATTCTGTATATACTTTTGGGTATTGAGAATTTGCTGGCTTTTCAGAGGTAGTAACAGAATAAGTAGCTAAAACTCTTGTCTTGGTAAGTCATCTCTGACTCTGAGAGCTACTGGCATGCTAAATCTTTACTATTGTCCTTTGCCTGTACCTCCTGTCCTTGCTTATCAGTTCTGAACAAGGTCCTTGATTGATTCAAATATTTTTATCACTGTCTTTTGTGTTGGTGTATTCAGTCTGTACAATAAATAACCAGACCAGCTCAAGAACAACAGTTATATTTTAATAATTGAAAAAAAAGGAAACTCATGCTACAAGAGTGGGAGGTCCAAAATCCAAAATGGTCTGGTGAGCACCACATAGAGAGAGAGAGAGCACGCATCTGCATCCCCAGGTTTTTCTACCTGGGCTCTAGGTGGCCACACCCTAACTAAATGTGATTGGTCGAAACAATCAGTTGATAGTTTCCCCATCATCTCCCCCTTTTGTCTAAACAAGATCAATCCAAACACAATACAGCTATATACAATAGGAACAGATACCAAATATATAATTACAAACAGTAAACAATATTAAGCAAGGAAGACATGACAAAAGTTTTACCAAACTTTCTGTTTCAAGGAGTCTAAATAATGTATTGAAATTAAGTTTGGCTAAATCATGAGGAAGATAACTACAATTATCTAATCTTCAACTCTATCAAAGATCTGAGAAGGAAAGCAATATTACTTGAGTAAACAGAAAGTGCAATCGAGAAACTTCCAAATTGTGCAACAAATGACAGAAACAACTGACTACCTGGGCAATCACCCAAAGTCTCATTTGCAATGTCGAAGCAACCAACTTTGGCCTAGGTCTAACATAAGTGACATACCATTTTCAAAGGCAAGAAACTTTTCAAAACTATCTTACCCTGTCTAGGGTTGATATGACGGTCCTGTTTTATCCATTTACGGATACTCTGTATCTCTGTCAGTGGTTGAGGTATGGGCATTTCTTTGCCCAAAGGCCAGTTCTGCCAAGAAGAAAGGCTCCAGGTGGAGTGTCTTTGGTGTTCAACATTCTCTAGGGAGTAGTTCGGTGTTGCCAGGAGTGATTGTGTCTCACTACCATGGAACTCTAGGTTAGATTAAAGGCCATTTTCTACAGCTCTTTGAAGAGGTTGAAGATTATACTATCTATACTGAATATAATCTCTATGTATCTAAAGGACCTGATTAGCCTAAATATAAATATGACAAACATAGATGACTATCGATCTATAATTCTCAATACCTATCTAACTTAAAGACTAAGACAATAAACGACTGTGCAATAAATAAGAACAATGACCTTCAAATATAAACAATGTATATTGATCAGAAGTAGTAGAGTACACTACAATATAGTAAATATATATGTCAATACATAAACAATGTTTCAAACAGAGGTAGAAGCATACACACATACAATATTCAATATAATTTAACTTTGTATCAATATACAAGAATAGATACCAATATAATTGTCTAAAAACAATAACTCACAAATACCAATCCATTATCCACCATTCAATTATCCCTCTTCTTTTTTTCAAGAAGATCCCTGAGCCTATAAAATTCCTCCTCCATTCATCAACCATATACCAACTATAATCAACCACCCCTAAATGATGTCCCTAAACCTGAGGGCAAACTTTGCTGGGAGAGGGGATGTTGTCCTCTAAAATTGCTTCCAGCTGTCATGGGGCGACATTCTTCCTAGGGGGTCCTGTGAAAGTAAATGATGGTTAAATTCCAAGATTAATATTTGGTCTGGTAAAATTGCAAATAGTCTCTGAGTATTTTTTGTGGAGGTCTGGCCAGAATGTTGTAAAAGATGTACACCATTTCAGCTAGCCAAGTCGAAACCGTCTTGTACAGCTGGTATCCAAAACAGGTCTTGTAGTAGCATTATCAGCATCATGACGTCATATCAATCAGGTGGAGTTGTTGTTGTGGGGCCCCATCTTCTTACTGGAAACTTCAAAGATCACTGCAGGGAAATTTATTGTTCACTATGGAAAACTTAAGCATGATCTATATAGACATATGAGGACAAAAACAGATATATTTCTAATGACTTCATCAAATCAATTAATTTCTGGTTCTCATCCTACACATGTTATTCCAAGGTTTTAAATTTTTTCACTTATCATATCTTCTTATCCGTAGAGATTATTTGGATGGCATGCAGACTGCCTTCCTGGAGGGATGTTCTATCTCCTGTCTTATCATAACTTTTTAACAGATTTTGATTGTCAATTTCAAAAGTATAAATCTTTTCAGATAACTTCTCATTACCAATCTGTAAAGACTGTATCATTTCTAAAAGTCTCTCATTCTTGATCTGTTATGAAACAATTTCTCTAAGGATATAATATGAATAATAAAACTCATAACCACCATGGCCACAAAAATATATGTGTCAGGTAGGTCATACAGCTCTTGGAGCAATCCAGTCATAGCAGAAACAAAAATATTGTTATATTCCTGGGTGGTGATATTGTCTACAGTTATCTTGGGATTGGTTTACAATCTTCAAATTTATTTATTTACTTATTTACCGATCAATCTGATGCTTAGGTATCAAATTAACTTACCTCCCTTATAATTTTGAGAAAATTATTGTAGGTGTAATACTGTGGATTGTCCAGCAGGTGTCACAGTTGTGGCAGTAAGGCAGGTCCTAGATCAGGGCCTGAATCACCTATGAGACTCAGCAAAAAATTTTAAAAGCGGCACACCTTCATATGGAGACGATTGAGTCAAAGGACTCAGAGCTTGCAGGCAATTGCGAGCTGTGAAGTGACTGGCGGATCTTGGGCCAGCGGTTCTCATGGATCCAATCTGGGGATGCAAACCTGTGTTCTAGGTGCAGGCATAGAGCTCAGCCTGATCAGAGCAGGCCAGACAGCAGCTGGACCTCAGAAGCAGTTCCTAGCTTGGGTCGCAGCAGTGAAGCCACATGGGTCAGAGAAGCCACAGAGGAGTTGCGGCAGGAATCTGCAGGCATCAGTTACTCAGCCACTTAGCTGGCAGGACTGAGGCACACAGGGGTAGGAGGGCTAGAAACTACCAACTCCCTCCTGTGGACCAGCCAACCCAAACCTTGCCCAGCTGAGCCAACTGGACAATTCAACTGCAGAGGGTTAGTTCAGTTCCATGGGGTGGGAGGAGGCCCTAGCGAGTCTGTGCAGGGTGGGGCGATGTTGTGGATTCAGGCCACATTGTCGCCAAATTGTAGTAGTACCAAAGAGCTCCACAGTAGCCCAGAAAGGAGTATTAACAAAGGTTTATTTATTTGGGGATAAACTCACAGTAAGGGTAGTGATCCACAGTCCTCTGTGAGCACTGGGAACTGGAACCAAATCCAGCAGGAAAAAAGGTCACATATGCTTTCATGCACTTAAAGTACATGAGACCACGCCCAGAGTGGGCCAGTATCCTAAAGGCTATTGTCTGAAGGAGTTCCCACAACACAGGGGCTGCTGTGACCAACAAGTCTGAGAGCTGGGATTCTGACACACAAGGCAGCAGCCACTATGCAGTTCAGAGGTTGGGGACAGAGAAGCTTGTTAGTTATAAGAATCTAATCATTCATAAAAGAAGTATCTTTGAGTGTAACTAATTCATGGGAGAACCCAGAGCATTTTAGTTGCAGAAACAAGATACCAAAGTGGGTAGAGAAAAAGCCATGCACAGTTCTAGAATAAAGTGAAATGTATCCGTGCAGGTCCAAGAATTCCCATATCGAACAATATGGATATTAGCAGTCCTATGCTTCCAGTGACCTGTGGTACTGCTGAGGGGACTCTGTATGTGGAGAATTATAAGAAAGGTGAGTTTCAGATCTTCTGTGTTCTTCACCTGTACAACGGCACTATGTATGGGGTGGGCATCTGTGTTGGGGGTATCTCATCCCCGAGTCAGTTTGTGGGACTCAGGATATCGGCAATGTCACACCCGTTGCTGAAGTGAGGGTCTGAGATCAAGTCACCAATGAGAAGAGGGCGTGAGAGGCCAAGTCCAGAGTAGCAAGAAGCTCTTGACATTGCTCTACTAGTGGGGACACACAGGGTGCAATCAACCACCCCAGCAATGAAAGTGTGAAAGGCTTTCTTCCAAGGAGCTGCCCAAGCCTAGGACCAGGGTTATGAGTTATGCAGGTACCTACCTGCAAAGCGCACCCCAAATGCAGATACCGACAAGTACAGCAGGTCTCAAGTGTGACGTGAACTGTTTGTAAATGGTTGGGGCGTGGAGATTCATGCTGTGTTTCCATGAGTGACAAAAGCGCTCTACAAAGCCTCATTCGCAGACTCCACCCAAAGTTCACTGTGCCAGGCAGCATTTCTCTGGAGAGTCCCAGGCTGCTGTGTTCATTCCTTACTGCACCAAACCCAAGAGAGGAGCAGGAATGGGGACATTTTTCATATTTTTTTCATTTTTTTCTCCTTCTTGTAGCACTGAGATTAAACTCAGGGCCTTGTACACGTGAGGCAAACACTCTCTCACTGAGCTGCACCCTAAGCTGCAATTTTGCAAGTTTAAATGTCATACGTCCCTGGCCTATCAGGCTACCTCCCATTCCCCCTGTGAAAAAGGCCAATAAGAAACCTGTTTAGCATCTCAGACCAGAGTAAGCCCTAACACACCTGGGTGGGAAATGTGTGTGTCTGAGAAAGTCAGCATCAACCTTTGTGGGTTCGTCAACTGTAACCTCTGTCAGACTTTAAGCTAAGTAAGAAAAAGCAGAGGACTTGGATTGGAATTTGGATACACTCAGCTCTCTTGGAGTATTAGTCCAGTGTTCTTTGCTCTACTGAAATATCCAGTCAGGCTGCTCTATTTAACTTACAGATTTAGAGGCTAAAAGGCCAAGATCAGGCAGCCTCACATACGGGCCTTTGGAGAGGGACTGAGGGCAGGTGGCATCATGGCAGGGGTATGACATGTAAGAGGAAGAGATCACACCATAAGACAGTGACTGGGGTCCCATGAGAACTATCTTAATCCCTCCCAAAGGCCGCACCCTCCATGATCTAGTGCCACCTCACATACCACCTTGTCAAGGACCAGGTTTTCAATATATGACCCCTGGGCAGGGGGGTGGGGGGAGACTTTCAAACCGTAGCTCAGCCACAAGTCCGTTTCTCTGACATCTGCATCAGGCTCCCTAATACTAAGCCTCCTCTATTTTGAAATGAGAATAAAACTTCTCTCACCACATTGCTATGATAAAAAAGATAATGGAAATGAAATAGTGTGGAAATTGTAGTTGTTAGAGTACAGTGCCACTGGTCCTCTATCATGGTTGGCCTTCCTTTCCACAGCACAGTTCTTTCTTTAAGATTTACTTTTACTTTCTTACTATGAGTGTTGGGCTGCATGTGTGTCTGTGCACTGAGTGCGCCTGGTAGCCATGGAGACCAGAAGAGGACATCAGATCTAGAGTCATGGATGTGAGCCCCATGTGGGTTCTGAGAACTGAACCTGGGTTTTCTACAAGAGCAGCAAATCCCTTCACCACTGAACCGTTTCCCTAGCAACAAATAAGTGTTTACCCCGTGATTCTACTGCCTACATGCAATTTAGCTGTTCCATGTAGACAGCATTTCCTAAATCACTTTTAACATCAACTAGTCATGAGTCTAAAATATGAGGGATAACCAACTGTCGTGACCTGGAAGTGTAATGTTATAGAAGTAGCTGTAGTGAATCCACGAGGAGAATGCAGCTTCCTTGTGGCTGGATTCACAAGAGTCCAGCAGGGAATTTTCTGCCCTCACTCACCTTTCTGAAATGCAAGTTGGTTCTACACTGGGTCACAGTAAAAGAAAGAGTAAGAATCCTGGTCACGTTTTAGAGTCATTCCTTTTGACAATCTTTTAACATTACAGTAGAATGCTTTTAAAGGTAATGTCAAAGGCATAAATCACTTTGTGCTTAAGCCCACTGACTGTTCTTCCAGAGGACCCAGGTTCAATTCCCAGCAACCACACTTGGCTTACAACCATCTATTACTACAGTTCCAGGAGATTCAGTGCCATTTTTCTGGCTTCTGTGGGCAATAAGAACAGATGGTGTACCCAGACACCCTTACAGACAAAACAGCAATACACATAAAATGGATGAATTCTTTTTAGAAAAAGCATAAAGGATAACATCAGTGGTCGTCATTCTCTGTCCTTGCCTAGCAGGATGGGTGTGTGGCCCCTGATGACTGGGAAGGAAATGCACACCCTCCTGAGACTAAACCTCACCCCCAGATCCAGGATGATGATGGGCCAAGGGCAGGTGTTTTCATAGCTGGCTGCTCAGTTGGTCTTGGTCCTACAGGCATCCATGAGAAGAGTATACAGATTGCGAATGGACAGTGGCTCACTCTCAAGGAGTTTGAAATCAGCGGACATCGTGAAAGATCCAGGAACTGGAGACAAAGCATACGTTGCTGTGGATGCACCCTGGGAGAGTTGATAAAGGTATTCTGGGGGTAGATAGTTTCCATGGTTCCTGGGTAGGATGGTGAATTAAAAGCTTCTATGTGACAGGCAGCTTCAGTTATTCTGGGGTGAGATAACAGGTTAGAAGTTCTTCAGGTACGACTGATAACTTCAACCAAGGATTTTACTGTCATAATCCACGTGTCCAGATGTTCACAGAATTACTGCGTACACAATACTATTATGATTTTTCTTAGACAGGTTCCATGGCATGGGTTGTTGCCAACATGCCAGACGTGGGTGTTACCTTGGCTGTCTTGTGTTATAGCTTAATCCTCTTTAATGTATTAACTTCCATTTTTTGGATGGTAGGAGAAAAGCCTGTAACCTTTACCATTAACTAGTTGCAGAAAATTTGGTAGCATTGATATAATTAAATTTAAATTTAAATACAATTGAAATTAAATATAATTGAAATTAAATTTAAATATAATTGAGTGCCAGTGATGAAAACAATATATGTCTGCATGTCTGAAGATAATGCACCCATGTGGATGCCTGCGTTACAGAATGTTCCAGCAGTTCTTCTTCGAGGTCGTCGTCTCATGCTTGTTCTTGAACAGCTGAGTATTGTGGGTCAGACCTGTAATCCCAGCACTTGGGAGACTGAGGCAGGGAGATTGCTCAGAGATCAAGGATGGTTTACACCCTGTAGTGAGTTCCAGGACAGGTTACAGAGTGAGGCCTGCCTCAACTCCATCTATCCAAAAATAAAAGTAAAAGAAGGGAAATAGTTTTGAAATAAGTTCTTTGTTCTTCATTTTTATCAACACTGTAAATTGGGAAAACCAGGAGGTTTCCTTGATAGCTGGGCCAGTTTCCTTCGATGTAGGATACACAGATCCTTCTGGCATGTTTCTCAGATGACCTATCCCTGTGTCATCCTCACAATAAAGAACAAAAGTTTGCTCATCGAGTATTGGCTGAGCTGCATCTGAAGCCATGGGGAGTACAGGTGTGAGCCCCTGGCCAGGGCAAAGCTGCACCTTCACACCCTACCTGCAGTTACTACTGTGGAGGAGAGGAGTCTGCAGGAAATAATGCTGCAGCTAAGGGGTGGGATGCCTATTTCTGGGTTTAGGACAAAAACCGTGTCATGGATCAATCTTTCCTGAGCTGGGTCATAGAAGAGGACAGTTCTGGACAAGTGTAGAATTCAGCTTTCTATGCCGGGAAAGAAGAGTGTGAGAAACCAGCCCTTAGTGTGTCTAAAATCTGTGGACGATCAAGTGGCATCCCTTGTTTAAGCTCACTGTGAAACTCACCAGGACAGGAAAACTGGATCTAAATATTTCTTTGACTCACTGTGGGGCACATGAGAAGCAATTTCCATGAAGACAGCTTGTATTTAACAAGGTTACATACAGACAGAAATATCTGGAAGATGGTGAGAAATACCTCACTCACAAACTAAAAGCAAAGACCCTCCCATCATTAACTCTCTGTCTTTCAGGTAGGACATCTACCAGACTCACCTAGGACAAGGAGACAGGTAATTCTCCCAAGATCTCCTGCTCTGATGTCTCAGACTTTTGTCTACAAATTGTTTTCCATCTCTGTGCCCTTGTAAGTTTCAGAATTGACCAATTTGTATTTGATCAAATTTGATTTATTCTATGGTGCTCATATAGTTGAGATTTCACAAGCATAAGAGGCCAGGGCTGCTTTGAGCATCAAAATACTTAAGATAGAGATGGGAACAAACCTTGAGAGCCATCAAATAAATGATCTCTTCTGCTTTCAGAGGGAAAACCAAACAAGCCCAGAGTGAACAAAGAAAAATGTAACTGCCCCATTACCTTCTGCCGTGATGTCAGACGCCATTAACTACAAATTATTAGTTGTTCATCTCTGCCATGTTATAGTTGTTAAATTCACTGATGATAATAAAAATGAATTTTATAATATGATATTGTTGTGGTTGATAGTTTAAAATATTGCACAATATAAAAGGCCAGTTCTCCAATTAACGTTTGAGATTGAGATGGGAACAACTCTTAAAAATAGTAAAACAATGGACTTACAATATGGCTCAGGAACTAACGGTACTTGCTGCCAAACCTGATGACCTGAGTTCAATCACCAACAACCATAGGATGGAAGAAGGAAACAGGTTCCAAAATTGTCCTTTGGTCTCTACATGAGTGTCGCAAGAGTATCTGTCTATACACATGCATAAATTGTAACATGACAGGCCGGCTTGTTGGGGTTTCTGTCCCGCCCGGTACTCCACAACCGGCAAATCCCAAAGAGAAATCACACACAGGACTCCATAAGGTTATAAACTGATTGGCCCATTAGGTCAGGCTACTTATTAGCTCTTATAACTTATGTTACCCCATTATCCTTATCTATGTTAGCCACATGGCTTGATACCTTTTTCAGTTGTCAGCTTACATGTTGCCTCTTCGGTGATCTGGGCAGGAATGGCGAGGGAGCTTTCTCCTCCCTAGCCTTATCCTATTCTCATTGCCCCGCCTCTACTTCCTGTCTGGTTGACCCACCTATACTTCCTGCCTGGCCAATCAGCATTTTATTAAAATATGATTGACAGAATACAGATAATTCTCCTGCACCAATAAATAAAATGTAATTTTTAAAAATCTAAGGGTTGGAAAAATGAATCTTCCAAAAGACCCGGGTTTATTCCCAGCATTCACATTGTAGCTCCCATTCATCTTGTAACTCCAGTCCCAGGACTTCCCACGCCTTCTTCTGACCCTGAAGGCACCAGATTTAGATACATCCACACTTCTTTTGTTCCTTTGCTGTAGATAAGACATTGAGCTCTCATCTCTGGAATCTGGATATCTCATTGGATGACTGAGGCAGATGCTGAGGTTTCTGGTCCATGGACCACTGCTTAAGAGGCAGAGATCTCACAAGATGACTGTTCATTAGAACCTCTCACAATGTTTAAGCATTTAGCCCTTGGATCCAGTCCAGACTTAGTGAATTGAAATTGATGTTATTGGGGTCCTAGTTATTTGTTATGTTTTCTCCCTCAGTGTTAAGGATCAAAACTAGGACCTCATTTATTCTAGGTTGAACATTCTACCATTGAATTACACTCTAAAGCCTGGAATTATGTTTAATTCCATGAGTGATTTTAATCTATAACATGTTGATGATTGCTGCTAAATAAGAGAACAAATTTCTTGTTTAAAACAAGTGGGTATCTTCAAAGCCTGCCATGCCGGAAGACAGCATCAAGACCCACCATGGCCCATGGTGACAACAGAGGCTTCCAGAAGCTATGCAATGACCAGGGCCTTAGCTTCAGCTCCAAGGACACCAAGAGCAGCAAACAGCAGAGACAGGATACCATGTGCACTTGGCAGAGGGACCACCAGAACCGTGGCACCAGTTGCATCAAGAGGAGATACCATCTGAACCTTGGGCCCATCTGAATCTGGAGGAGTGATCACTAGAGGATCATCCCTGCCTGTACCTGAATGAGTATGCAAGGGAACCACAGCCCCAGCATCACCAACTGAAGGAAGAGGGACCCTTTGAAGCACCGACTCCACACATACTGATTAGAGAATGAAATGGGTAGACAACAAGTGAAGAATACACTAAACAACAGAGAGAGCAGTACAGCATCACTAGAAACTGGTGGTTCTACAGTAAGAAAACCAGAACATCCCAACTCAGATGCAGTAGAAGAAAATGACACTAAAAATAATTTTATGGAGATGATTGAGGTACTGAAAGAGTAAATGAAAAAGTCCCTTACAGAAATGGAAGAAAAGATGAAATAAAAATTGGAAGAGATTAATAAATCCCTTAAAGTAAACTCAAAAAAAGCAGTCAAACAGGTGAAGGCAACAGACCAAGACTTAAAAATTGAAAAAGAGGCAATAAAGAAAACCCAAACCAAGAGAACTCTGGAAATGCAATATCTGGGTAAATGCTAAGGAACTACAGATGCAATCATAAACAACAGAATACAAGAGATGGAAGAGAATCTCAGGAGGTGAAGATACCATAGAGCAAATAGATTCATTGGTCAAAAACATCTAAGGTCTAACTAATTCTTAACACAAAATATCCAGGAAATCTGTGACACCATGAAAAGACTAAACTTAAGAAGAATAGAGAAGAGGAAAAATAAGTCCAGTTCAAGAACACAGAAAATAAATCCAACAAAATCATAGAAGAAAATTTTCTCACCCTAAAAAAGTACTTACCTATAAGAATACAAGAAGCATACAGAACACCAAATAGACTGGACCCAAAAAAAAGTTTCCTCAACATATAATAATTAAAACTCTAAACATACATAATAAAGAGAGACTATTAATAGCTGCAAAGGAAAAGGCCAATCAATGTAAATGCAGACCTATCAAAATTTAGCCCAGCTTCTCAATGGAAACAATGAAAGCCAGAAGATCATGGACAGGTGTTATGCAAACACTAAGAGATCACAGATGCCAGCCAAGACTAACATATCCAGCAAAGCTTTCAATCACCATAGACAGAGAAAACAAGATATTCCATGTTTAAGCAATGCCTATTCTCAAATCCAGCCCTACAGAAAGTACTAGAAGAAAAACTCCAACCCAAGAAAGTTAGATACATCAACAAAAACACAGGCAATAGATAATCCCACACAACATATCCCTAAGATGAGAAACACACACACACACACACACACACACACACACACAATACCACCAACAATAACAAAAACAAAAATAACAGGAACTAGCAACCACAGGTCATTATTATTCCTTGATATTAATGGACTCAATTTGCCTACAGAAAGACACAGGCTAAGAGATTGGATATGAAAACAGAATCCATCTTTTTGCTGCATATGAGAAGCACACCTCAACTTCAAAGACAGACATTACCTCAGAGTAAAGGGTTAGGGAAAGATTTTCCAATCAAATGGTCTAGGGATAAAAAGCTGGTGTAGTTCGTCTAATATCTAACAAAATAGACTTCAAACTAAAAGTAATCAAAAGAGATGAAGAAGGTCATTTCATATTCATGAAAGGAAAAATCCATCAAGATAAAGTCTCACTTCTGAACAAATATGCCCTAAATACAAGGGTTTCCTCATTTGTAAAAAGAACTATTGCTAAAGCTTAAATCACACAGCAAGCTCCACACATTAATAGTGGGAGACTTCAGTAACCCCACTCTCGCCACTGGACAGGTCTGCTAGACAGAAAGTTAACAGAGAAATAAAAGAATTAACAGATGTTATGACTCAAATGGGCCTAACACACATCTATAGAACATTCAACTCAAACACAAAAACACATACCTTCTTCTCAGCACCCTATGGAACCTTCTCTGTTGACAGTGATTTCTGTCCCACCTGGTCCCACAGCTGTTCAGTTCCAAATAAACACACAGAGGTCTACACATTTGTTGACAGAGGTTTCTGTCCTGCCCAGTCCTGCAGCATTCAGCCCACTACCACAAAAAAAAAACTCACAGAGGTCTATACTAATTATAAACTGGTTAGCCTATTAGCTCAGGCTTCTTATTAACTAATTCTTATATCTTACAGTAACCCATAATTCTTGTCTGTGTTAGTCACTTGGCTTGGTACCTTTATTAGTGAGGAGTTCTCATTTTGCTTCCTTTGTGTCTGACTTCCCCTGTGACACTGCAGACTACCTCTTTCCTCTTCCCAGAATTCTCCTGTTCTCATTGCCCTGCCTCCATCTCCTGTTTGCCCCACCTGTATTTCCCACCTGGCTACTGGACAATCAGCATTTTATTAAAATACAAGTGACAAATCTTTACAAAGCACAAGACCATTGCCCCACAGCACTTCTCTAAAATTGACCACATACTCAGAAACAAAGCAAACCTCAACAGATAAAAGAAAATTGGAATAATCCCCTGTATCTTATTGGATCGCCATGGTTTAGGTTAGAATTCCACAAGACTAATTGCAGAAAACCCATAAAATCATGGAAATTGAATAATACTCAACTGAATGACTACTAGATTGTAGGGCCCTGTCTTCCCTGCTCCTCGAGGCCAAAACACAGGATGCAAGAAATGTTTACGCTAACCAGCTTAGCTTCCCCTGCTCAATTCCGCCAGCCAGAGGGAATTAGTTCAGAGCCTTGTTTCTGTCATTGCTATGACAATTTCACCTGCTAAGGAGGGTCCTCACAGGCGCCCTAAATCTCCTCCCATCTGTCTGTCAGTGTTCCCAGCTCGATACCCCCTACATGGAAGCTCCGGCCACTGGTGCCAGGCGGCCAACACTATGATCTCACTCCCAGGTGGGAGGGGGCTCTCGTCCTTTTGCTCCCAAGTATATAAACCCGACATGTGCTGAATAAAGTTGACATTTACCCTTTGGGCAAGTGATCCTGATCTCTCTGTGTGTGTGTCTGTTTAACTCCTAGGATATTGATCCAGGCTTGCGATTCAGTACGGAAAGCGCGCACTCGTATCGGAGAGTGGGGTTTCGCAGATTCGGGCAGGACACTAGATCAAAAAAAAAAAAAAGAAAGG